TGCCGACACCTCCCGGTGTGTGCGGGGCGGGGGGAGCCACACCTGAGGGGCGGGGGCAGGATCATGTTACCCGCCCCCCGCTGCTTTGTTTCCCTACCCCTGGCCGCGCTGCTGCGGAGGGAGGCTGCAGCTCAGGGAGATCTGAGGGGGGGCAAATAGGGAGGGGCAGAAGGTGGGCAGGGGCCAAACTGAATGCCGGGTGGGGGGCCCTATTTGGGGGCCGGGGAAGGAGCGGGGCCCATGGGCACAACCAGGGTGGTGGGGGCAGCACAGGTGTTGCATCTAGGCTGGTGGGGCCCTGCCGCACCCCCTGGCTTGAAGGGTTTCCATCCTATCCAGGATTTACAGTTTGGTTCAATGGCTCTCAGTGCCTCCCACTGAACGGATTGTTTCAGCCCCCCTGCTTTGGACTAGGAGCCGGGGATAAGAACGGGGAACAGCTGGCACGGGGTGAACCTAGGGCTGAGGGAGGAAAGCTCTTCCCCCCACCCCCCCCGCACTATCGGGGCAGGACCCAGCCCCTAAGCACCACCCAACCCGCCCTGTAGAGGTCTCTGCAGTGATCACACACCTGTATCCCACCACTTGATACTTGAGTAACACATGCGGAAACTGAGGCACATACACAGCATTCAGAGAAAACATTCAGAACATTTCTGCTTCCTCATACCCCTCTGAGACCAGCTCAGGGGCACTTTCTCCAGTGGCTGGAACCACTCTAACCATACCAGCCCCTGAGCCTAGGCCTCCAGGTGATGGAGAGACCTGGGGAAAGGTCTGAAGCCAGGCAGGAAAATGACTCTGTACAAAATGCCCCTTTGAGGGACCGGCTGGTGAGTTTGGCCTACAAGGGGAGGGGCTCCCTGTATCTGTGAACCCCAGAGCTGCTGCCCTCAGTGACACAGCCAGGTTCAACCCGTTACCAGTGTCAGTGGCTGAGCTGCCTAATGAGAGCAAAGGGCCACGACAATAGGGCAGTCGATAAAAAGGGAGAGCGGATAGACTTGAAGGGCAGCAGGAGCAAGAAGTGGGGAGGGAGGTTCCCAGCCCTGCCCAGATCCATTCCCTGCACCCCCGGGGCAGTCAGCTCTCCTGGGAACAAGGGGAGGAGCTGAGAGAGGAAAAGCCAGTTGCTGACTCTGCTGAGCACCTCACGACTGAGGGAGACGGGGGAGAGCTAGAGGGGTTACAATACACTGTGGGGCAGTGCCCTAAAGTGACTCCTTTGATTCTGCTCTTTTTCCAGCGTTTGGCTCAGAGCTGCTGTTCTGGGGAGGTTTAGAAGGGACATGGTAGGGTTAGTTCTAATGGGGGCTGGCCGGGAAATGGCTGTGATGGAGCCAGCTCAGGTAGGCGATTTTTAGGGAGCTTTTGGTGGTGGGGGAAGGGTATTGTATTTCTGAATCAGGAAACACCCCGCTGGGCAGGGCTGGGAAAACTGACCAGACTCCCAGTGCTGGAGCCTGACCCCACTGGCCTGAGGCTGCTGTGAAATACAAAGGGAAGCTGTTGGGATTCCTGTCCCTCTCCCTGGCTCAGAGCTCTGCTTCCCGTATCAGCCTGTGGGTGGCAGGCGTGTGAGAAATGAGAAGACTCTGCCCTGCTCCATGTGCTGGGGGGACAAGGAGCTCTCACCTTCTCCCCACCCCCTGAAGCCTCCTGGCTGCTCTGAGCAGGGTGGGGGAAGGATTTTGCTTCTCTGGCCCTCCTCCCCCTTGACTAGCGGGATTGTGGCTGGAGCAGCAGGTGCTGAGTGGGGGACTCTTGTTGTTTCAGATGCCGGTGACCTTCGAGGAGGTGGCTGTGTATTTCACCCAGGGGCAGGGGGCTCTGCTGGACCCCGCTCAGAGAGCCCTCTACAGGGATGTCATGCGGGAGAACTACGAGATGGTGACCTCGCTGGGTAAGGGATTCCTGGCCCCTTGGTTACTGGAAGCTGCGGGGGTCTGCATGTCTGACACTGGTCAGGTTCTTCCCTCATCACTCTCCTATGAGACCAGGGTGTCAAAACCTAAGGCACATATTAAATCATCCCCACCCAACCCCCCTAGCTTGCAAGGTGGAGAAGCCGTGTATTGTCCTGTCTGTGTTGTTTCTCGGTCTCTCACAGAATCCCTCTTCTCCCTCCTCCTTGGGAACAGCTCCAGCCATGCGGAGGGCTCTGGGATCCGCAGGTTTAGAAATAGGCAGGGGTTTAACACTAGAGCTGGGTGTGCGTCACAATTCCCCTTACCTACCCAGACGTCTGCCTCCCCCCTGGAGGCTCAGTGACCACGTTCCCGTCCTCTTAGATTCCACATTCTGCAGCACAGCACAGGGACAGGTTCCACTCACGGAATGTCCTTTCTGACAGACGCTCTCTCAATCCTCCACACACCCTGAACTGCTCTGATTTCACCCCCTGCACAGGATTTCCCCTTTCCAAACCTGACCTGATCACCCGGCTGGAACGAGGGGAAGAGCCGTGGGTGCCCGATCTCCAGGCCTGTGAGGAAAGAGATATCCCGAGAGGTGCCCACACAGGTGAGGACTGACACACAAACCATCTGGGGAATGAATGAAAAAGTTGAGAATCCCAAAAATCTAGTATCAATAACTGCCCTTAGTTCCTTCCTCATCTCACCTAGGGCAGGACTGCAGTCAGGAGATATCACTGACATCACTTTCCACCTATCCTGTTAACTGCAGGAGTTTCCTTCCCAACTTTCTTTCTCTGTGAAAGATTGGGTGGGATGTGGAGGCAGAATCCAATTGCTCTGTCTGTGCAGCTTTGGTATGTTGGGTTTTTCCTTGCTGCTATTCCTCTTAATTTCTTCCCAGCACAATGACTCCTGTCTGAATTCTCTCTCTCCCAGCAGGTGATGAGAGAGTGAGTGAGAACGAGGAGTGGAATCAACAGCAGGAAGTTCCTGGACACGGGGAATCACAGGGGACCTCTGTGGGAAGAACCCATAAGTGCTTAGACTGTGGAAAAAGTTTCATACGGAGGTCAACCCTACTTCATCATCAGGCAATCCACACAGGAGAGAAATCCCATAAATGTTTGGACTGTGGGAAAAGTTTCACACAAAGATCAAATCTTATGGCACATCAGGCAATCCACACTGGAGAGAGACCCCATAAGTGCTTAATCTGTGGAAAAAGTTTCATACAGAGGTCAAACCTTGTTAACCATCAAACAATCCACACTGGAGAGAGACCCCATAAGTGCTTAATCTGTGGGAAAAGTTTCACATGGAGGTCAAACCTTATTGCACATCAGGCAATCCACACCAGAGAGAGACCCCACAAGTGCTTAGAGTGTGGGAAAAGTTTCATACGGAGATCAACCCTACTTAATCATCAGGCAGTCCACACTGGAGAGAGACCTCATAAGTGCTTAGACTGTGGGAAAAGTTT